AAAAGGGGGGGCCACGGGGGAGCCCTGCTTCAAAAAAAAAAAAAAAAAAAAAAAAAAAAAAAGTTTTTGGAAGTTTAAGCAGAAGACAACCGTTGGATGCAGTTGAAAATGGTCCTGATATTGGAGGGTGACACCTACCTGGGCTAAAAAAAAAAACCCCAAAACCCCAAGTATCCTATCTTCCACTTTTTTCTCATGACTTTTGGTATTAATGGCCTCACCTTAATTCAAAGTATTAAGTAAACTGGTGAAGGTAATATAAACTTAATCTGAAATGTAGTTTAAGTGATTTCATCTGACTTTCACCATTTTTGCCAAGGTTTAGCTATAAAATGCAAAACTCAAGTAAAGAACATACTCATGTAACCAACAAACAGAATCTCACTGCTCCTCAAAATTCCCTGGTACTTTTCCTTATCTAGACAATTGCACCCTACTACAAACAGCAGGGTTAGATTCTGAACACATGCACACGTCAGACATAAATTTTAGTATCTTATGTGTATGACTGTTTTGCCTGCATTATGTAAATGCCACACCCATGGAGGTCAGAAGAGGGCATCAGATCCCCTGAACTGGAGTTACGGACAGTTGTTAGCTGCCATGTGGGTGCTGGGATTCAAACCCAGTCTTCTGCCAAGGAGAGCCAGTGTTCTTAACCACTGAGCCATCTCTACAGCCCCCCAGACATTAACTCTTGTGTTTGTGAGATTTGCTGGGGCTGTAGGTGGAGCACTTGTCTAGTATGGGCAATACCTTGGGTTTGATCCCAGTACTACTCAAAACCAGAATTTGTGAGACCTTTCTTCATATTAGTGGCTATGTATTATTGCCATGCACTTTTGTTGTACTTGTCTTTTTCATTGTCCTAATTCTTATATTGGTTATCTGTAAACTTTAATTCATTTAAATGGGATTAAATAGAATTATGTATTTTTCACATAAACATCTGCATTGTTTGGATCTTTCAATTGTCACATATTCCATAGGCCAGAAAGTGTTTCAATTAAAAAAAAACCCATGGCATTAGGCCTGGCATACACCTTTAATCCCAGCACTGAGGAGGCAGAGGCAGGCAGATCTCTGAGTTCAAGGCCAGCTGGGGCTACAGAGTGTCTCTTAAAAAAAATAAACAAAAAAGCCCCACAAAAAATGATTATGATAACTGTATCATTTATAAGTCTTTAACTTCTGGATTTTAGAATCATAGTCTAAAATTACCATCTTTGAAAAAGCGAACTTTATTGGACGCCAGTGAGAGATCTGTGACGACTATCCTTCCTTGCAAGCCATGGGTTCGTTCAACAACGAAGTTGGTTCTATGAAGATACAATGTGGGGTGTAAGTGTAAAAACAGGGTTGAAAGTGATTCTGGCACGTTTAAAACATGTGACTATAAAATAAAGATATGATTAGCCAAGTGTGGTGGCACACACCTTCAATCCCCCCCACTTAGGAGGCAGATCTGTGAGATTGAGGCCATCCTGGTCTCCATAGTGAGTTCCAGGCTAGGTGTAGGTACAGAGACCCTGTCGCAAAAAGACCCAAAAATACAGATATTGTGATTAAGGTTAATTCTTAATCAGTTCTGGCTGTAGCACTTAGAAAACAGTGCCTGATACAATAAAGGATGACTACAGCTTTCTAAGCTTAGAGGTATCCTGGTACCTGTTGTTGAGGAACAGAGGTTTTGGGGTACATTTCAGGCTCCTTAACTGGTTTTAGTAATGTAATATGCTTTGGCTTTCTTAGCTGGGTTTGCTACCAGTATCCTGGATATCGTGATTATCAATATATCTTGGAATGTGACCATCATGGAGGAGACTACAAACATTGGAGAGAGTGGGGATCTCATGCCCAGACTTCCCAGATCCAATCAATTCGCCATATTCAACAATAGTGGATTAAAAGCTCCAAGAGAATTCAAACATGAGACCTTGCTAAGCACTCTGGAATTTTATGTTCTGCTCAGACATTGGTTCCAAATGTTAGTTGCTGAAATCCACAATAAATGTCATTAAAAAAAACAAAAAAGCCATGTAGAGTGAATTGACATTTTACAAAAATCCTCTTTCCTGGCTGAGATTTCTCTTCTTTTAAATTTTAAATTGTGTGGTTGTGTATGTGCGTGCACATAAATACCGGAGCTCTTAGAGGCCAGACCTGTTGGAGTCCCTGAACTGGAACTATACATGGTTGTTAGCCAAGTGATATGGGCACTGCAAATAGAACTCAGGTCCTCTGGAAGAGCAGGACATGCTTTTAACCAGTGAACCATTTCTCCAGCCCCCATGACTGAGATTTAAGATAATCCTCAATAAAGCCCTGAATTCCCTTTGTACTCTTGTAAATTATTTGCCAAGAGGACAATTAATCTCCATCTCAAAGAATAATTCAAATGCTATCAGTCTCTCTGTACAATTGATTATGCATCTTTCCTTCTTGATAATAAACTTAAATATTTTATGTGTAGGAATGTTTTGTCTGCATGTATACAAGTGCACCATGTGTGTACAATAACTGGAGATCAGAAGAGGGTGTCAGATCACCCTGGAACTGGAATGAATTATGGATAGTCCACATGTGGGTTTGTATGTATACACCAATACCAGCACCCATGGAGACCAGAGGTATTGGATTCCCTGAAACTGGAATTACAGGTGGTTGTTAGCTAAGTGACATGGGTGCTGGGAACTGAACCTAGGTCCTCTGGAAGAGCATATAGTGCTTTTAACCACTGAGCCGTATCTCCAGCCCCTGACCAAATAATCTTGATTTTAGTATTGATTTTCCCCCCAACTTATGAGAAACAGGTGCTAAAGGACCAGGAAATTTCTTAAATGAATATTGCCGTATATTCTTACTAAACTAAGAGTTACAAATAAAGACCGGAGAGATGGCTTAAAATTGAGTACTGCTCTTGCAAAGTTCAGTACCCAGCTCCTATGTTGGGTGGCTCACAATCCCCTGTAACTCTAGCTGCAGGGAGATCTGTTACCTCTGGCCTCCATGTATACTTGGACCCATGTGCACACACCCACCCCCATACATATAACTAAAAATAAATCTTTAAGTTATAAATAAATCCAGCCTTGGCAACTTAATATTCTCATCATTTAATTGTTCAGCTCAATTACCTTTTATTTTAATTAGAAGAACATAGGTTTACTTAATGTCGCCAAAAGGCAAGACAGCTCTTCTAAGACGATTTTTCAATAAACATGCTAATGCTAATTCCAAAAACCTATATGATTAAAACAAGGATATGATCACAGTATACTTAATACTCAATTTTTTTGCACATTTGACCTTTGGAAAATGGTCATTATTAATGTCACAATCTTAAGTTTTCAGTTAAAAAAACTTGAAGTTCACAAAAGAAAATAACACAAACACCTCAAAAACTTTAAATTTTTTATTTAACAATGTACACTTATTGTCTTATTTGATCTACAAATCTCAAGTTTTTCTGATAAAATAAGTAAATCTGAGTATGGTTGTAGAGTGTAATTTTGTATTTTTAAAACACTGAACATTAAGACATCAATAAAGGAAGATCATCCTGTAACTGACACTTCCTCGGAATCCATGACATCAGAAAGAGCTATAGTAAATACCAAAAGGGTAAAATAAATTTCTGGTCAATGTGCTACCTAGAAAAGACTTATTTAAAAAAAAATTGATTTAAACTGGGCAAAACAAACATTGAAAAAAGAAAAGAGGAAGGGCCAACATCTAATAACTGTAATCCACTAATCCTTTTCTCCAAATTAAAAGGTAGCCAGTTCCTAAATAAATGCCTGTGTACACAATACAGAAATTACTTTGCTTCTCCAATATATTTGCTTTGTTGCTGCAATGTAGCCCCAGGTTGGCTTTGAATTCATAATCCTTCCACCTCAGTCTTCCGGATGCTGGTGTGCACAAAGCCCGGCTACCAGCACGTTCTAAGACTGGACATAAATGAACTACTAACATGCTGGAAGAGTAGCCAAAGTCATCCAAGATATTTACATTTCTGTATTTTTTTAAGGCCATGCACTACGGACCCACCTTTGGAACCTCTTAGATTTATTAACTGCCACTATCAACGAAGACACAGGAGGATTTTTGCTGCATTTTCAAAGTCAACAGCACATACCAAAATGAAGAAGTAACCCTCTTTTATACATGAAAACGCTATAAAATGAAATGCCTTTTATATCTAGGAGCACGGGGGAAACATCATTGGTAATACTTTCTACTTAAAATTTAATTGGACTTTCCTACAAAGGTCCTAAAGAGATTACAGAAGTTGTCTTTTTAAAGATTGACATGATCTGGCCAGTACATCTATACAATCTTGTAAGTACACATACTTCATGTGAAATAAAGCTATTTAGTAGATGCAAATCTCAGTGAATTGACCAAATGTGCCCAACTTCTGAACTTATTCTAATCAGCTTGGGCATTTAAAAAACTATAAATGACCTTTAAAACAGTCTATGTTTCGATCTTTAAGTAACTGAATGATTTTGATTCCAAGCCAATTATTCCATAACTCAATCTGTGCTAAAGTAAGAAAGGTAAAAAGAGGCTATCCTACCTTTAAATAAACTTTAAGACATAAACTTGTCAAAGAGCTTCACGTGGCAAAAGTCCTCCCTTCATTTGTTTCCATTTCTTTTTCATCAAATATTCAGAATTTCATTGAGTAGAACATTGGAGAAAATGGTTTATAAAGCTGATAAAACTGTCCTGTTTTAAGAAAAGCCCTTTAATAGATACAAGTCAAGCTCTCATTTAAACTGAACTTTATTAAAATAGGTGCCAGTTTTCTTCCCTTCTAGTTCCACTGATGAGCTAGCCCAGAACTTTGAACCATGTTTCCAAAGATGGTAAAGCTAAGAACAGCAAAGTAGTAAGGGCAGATAGATTACTTTTGGTAATGACACACAAACTTTCAAAACATGTGCATAGCTTTATTCATCTACTTACATCTAACCTTTTCACGGAGCTTCGGCAAAACTGAGTGTGCAAAATGCATTTCTAAAACGTAATGCAAGCAAAGCTTTTCACATTTACACTGGCAAGAAATACAGAGAAACTAACAAGTCACATTAGGGAGAATTCAGATTTTTTTAATGACAAGAATTGCACAGTTTATTATTTTGAGACAATTGTTGCAGACATGAATATTTAAATTTTTCTAAGCAAGGTGCTTTAACAATAAAAAAATTTTTAAGTTGGAAAGAGCCAATAACTTGGATCAAAGCTCACAAAGAATCCTAAATGAACGTGGACTCCCATCATCTCCCTGTATTTTGCAAACAATGCTTTTAATAATACCTTTCATAACACTAAAGGAGACAGCAAGCTGAATTTTTTTTCAAAGCACACAAGAAATGGTGGCATCACATTACTTGAAGGTGGTGCTGGGGTAGGGGTGGGGAGTGAAGCATCTTTTTTACTATTTCCCATTACAGACCAGCCACTACCAGACTAAAAACAACAACAAAAAGAAACAACTGAAAAAGCAAGTCACTTTCCCAGTTTATAAAAGAGTTCCAGTTTGACAATATCTATGACTTTAAACAGAGAGCACCAGTTGGGCAATAGAATGAACAATTCAACTGCATAAAAATCAGTGAGGTGGTAAGAACCATCAACTATCTCAGGCATGACTACATGGCCTTTCCAAAAGTTAATATACATGCAAGGCACATTGATATAAAAATAGATCTCTGGCCAACAAATATATTAAGTAAGCAAATTAAAATTTTGGCTCTGCAATATTGGCAACATCAAAATATAACCAGATAGCTTTGGACCACACATCTTTCTCATTTTTCTCCACCTCATTTGGTGTCCCCCCTTTTATCTCCTTCATATTTGAGTATGTGCTTGAGAAGTAGCATTCATTCCTACTATACCTGTTTACCTTTGCTAAATAAAATTATACCAGAGAAGCAGAATAGTTGGGAGCTTTGTTCAAATAAATTTGACAGGACAGCATTACTTCTCCATTTTAACAAAAACAAACAAAACAAAAAACCCCAGGTTATTGACAATTGTTCTTTTTCTATAAACAACAAATCAATGACATTACTTCTTTTAAGTCATTCTTCCCAATTCTTTCTGAAGCAGAGAGAGGGAATAACAGAAACAAAGCTATGACTTAAAATATTTTCAGTAGTAGAAGACACTTTAAGGCCAAAAAGTGTAATATTAAACATAAGTCTTATTTCCCAAGTTACTGTCCTCATAGGCCAAAATCAACTGCAGATTAAGTTACTGACTCACTCCTGAAGAGAAGTATAAACTCTGTTCACTTTTTTGTTAGTGGCTGTGCTACAGAAAAGGTATCAAAGCAAACTATGGTATATAGTAATGTAAAAAGTGCATCACATTCTTGATTTTCAGGTTCTCATAGCAGCAGCAGGCTTAATCTAAGACAAAACAGTTTATTTCATTCTAAAAATGCAACAATACCTAATGAAATGTATTTAAGATTATGAAAGAATTCTCTACAAAAGATAAATGCAGACTAATAACAAATAGGATTAACTAAAAGTACTCATTCATATTTACATATTAAAACCACTTATTAACACCAATCTTTACAATTAGCAAAAGAAATAATGGATTTTAAGAATAAAACAGATGTTACTAACGCAGTATCCATTTTGGAGCCTTTGTTTAGCACCTGAGGAAAAAAAGGGTATATGGAAAGCTATTGTAAAATTTCTCAAGTTGGTTTGGTCTGTAGATTACAACTTTGATATACAGCAAAAGTGAAACTGAACTGGAAAAAACCACAACTGTAGCTATTGATAAGGCTGTAGAAAAGGGATACTGCAATATTATAAAATGGCTTCAGAACTCTGGATAGAACAAAATTTTCTGAAAAGTCTAGTCTGAACCAGCAATCCCATTACAGGTGAGGATGTCTGTTACAGTTTGCAGCCCCTAACTGCTATTTGGTAACCTTATAATGCAAAAGCTATATTATTCATGCTTTGTTGGGTATTTTTATGTCAAGACAACTTCAAAAATCTACTCATACTATTGCTGGCATCCTTTAACTACTTTAAGACCTTTCTTGCTTCAAACTCAGTAAATCAGTGCTTTTCAATGAAGTTGATGAATCATATTAAACCAACTCAAGAGTGGTCTTGGTTCTCAAATGTAAGTATTTATAAACATTTTCAGATACCCAAAACAGAAGCGCATCCCTTTCATCATAGAAAAATCCTGATGCTGTCAACCAGCAAAATTAACATTGATTTCTAGAACTAATGTTAACCTGTGCACCTCTGGCAAACTCTGAGCAGCTATATATGCTTCTAAGTCCTGTCCTTCTGCCCTTCCTTTCAAACAATGCTGGGAGGACGGGAAGATAAGCAAATCTCAACCTTTCCTATAAAATTCAACAGTTAGGTTACAGAACACTGCCCTATCAGAATTCATGACAGGTATAACATCAATAGACTTTATCAAAGAAATCACTGTCCATTTACATATATTTGTCCCACTACACTGTACCAGTTTTCCACAGTAAGCAATATGTAAGGGCAATCATGTATTGTTTGATTATATGGTCCAGTGACATAACTAACAACCAAGTATGAAACTACTGCTGCTATGTCATATTTTGTGAAAAAACATACTGTGTTGTGGACAACCACCACAGTCAATTGAGTTTCCCCCCGCCCCCTGAACCAGTATTTGAAAAATCGCAGCACTTTTTTCCTTTATAAAGTTTTTGCAGATTCTGAATGGTGTATGCAGATGGTAAAGGAGAGTAGCAAAATTCAAGGAACATAGTTGTCATTAACCAATTTCTAGATATTGGCTATCTCCTCTTAGAAAGTGGAGAAGGGCAGTCTACTACAGATACCATAAAGACACTATTTATCTGAAGGTTCATTACTAACATTAGAGGAAACACTATGCAATTTATTTCAGTTTGTTCAAATGGGGTGAATAAAGAGAAAAGATAAATACACCCTGTCTTTTGTGGGGAAGGGAGATTATTCAAGACATTTACACAGAAGTGAGTGGTATGTGACACAAAACCTACAATCAAGACAAATTGAAAAAGAAATCATCACCCTTAATTAGTATCTTCTTGGCTATTAAAAAAATAGGTCATGATTTCATCCTTAGTGCCATTTTTCTAATACTACCCTTTAAGGATTTAAACCACCCGACTTAATTCCATGTAATGAAAACAAATGGCACAAAATAAATACAAGTTTCATTCTTTGAATACTAATATAATGTTTTACACATTCATTTACTAATTCTTAGTCTCTTCATCTTTCCCTCACACACAAGAATCCCAGCACACATACATCCACACATCCACTTCTACACACACACCTTTTTCAGTCTTTCAAATGGAGGGATGTTAAAAATCCCCTCTAGACTGTATTTGGTTTATGCTACAGTACTAATACTCTGAGTTGAAGGAAAATTCTTTATACCAACAACACATTGTTATTTAAATGTCCTAAATTAATCACAGCTGATGTTTGTTTAGAAGCTCACACAAAAATAATCAGAAAACAGATGAACTCTTAAGACCTTTTTTTTAATAAGTGCTCTGTAAGGAATTGTGTGAGGACCTAAGGAGAAAGATTTCGACAAGTGTAATCAAACAGCACAAAGGAGATTTGTCCCAAAGTCCTGCTTGTACCTAGGCAGTAAGTCCATTAACCCAATGCCCCAAAAATACTGACAGTTAATATGGTGGGCCACTAGGGATCCCAGAAAGTTAACAGATATTCCTAAGTACTAAACTCCAACCATATTATCAAGAAAATTTCTGTGGAGAAATCAAAGTGAAATGTTGCATTGTTTCATTTAGAAGTGAGACTCTCAGAAAAAAACAAAACAAAACAAAACAAAAAACCAACCAAACAAACAAAAAAAAACCCTTTGGACAAACAGAGAAAGGATACATTCTCTTTAGTTTTTCTGAACAGAGGCCTGAAGGATACGGAAAGGAATTATGAAAGTGAAGGCTTTTTAAAGGTAGTAAGTGTTACTTCTAAGCTAAAAAGCCCAATTCAAATGGGACTGGATTTCTTTCCATCTTGAATATGTTGACTAAATCTCTGCACACCACAAACCAAGGAAGTTTTTGGGGATTTGTGAAACAGAAGAACTTTAAAATTCCAGGCAAGCAAAATGGACATTTAAAAAACCAGTGGGGTAAGGATCTGGCCCTAAGGTGACAAGTGGTTACACAAGGCAATTGAACACACAGCAGAACTTTAAAACCTATAAAACAAACTGGAGCCTCTGTTTTCTTTAATCAACTTTTTACCTTTTTTTTTTTTAAACTTTTTGAAAATTTTTATTAAAAAAAAAAAAAAAAACACAAAAACACAGACTTTTTTCATTTCAGTATGTGGTATGTTGCATTTTCCAGTTTGTTCAACGCTTTAAAGCTCAAGGATGCCTTACTTTGAATTGTACATGGGCCTGAAGCATCCTAGCTTTTGGCAAGCAGGCAGGAGACTCAACAAAAAAATCAAAATAGGAACAAGGCAGACTAAATGCAGGGCACATCTGTAAACATATTATACATTTGAAAATTACAATATCAGTAAAAGTGATACAGTTTACAGGTGAAATGAAACTATCCGAAACTGGCCTACCACAAGTTTCTGAACCTGGACTGATACAATAAGTTATTATATATATTATGTATAAAAGTTTGTTTACATCAAGTGGAATTGGCAATCCATGCTTATACTTTAAAAAAATCTAAGCAGGGCAGAAATCCAGACTAAAAAGGTATTTCTCTCTATAGTAAATCCAACAGCTTCTCTCATGAACTATTTGTTAAAAGCCTGAAATAATTAATGAAGCCAGAAAACCCATCCATACTACAATCACTCAAAACTGGACATTTCTTTAAAAAAGGGACGGAGCAAAAATTAACCACTGTCTCCCCAAATGTGTCCAGGGGATTCAGTCTACTTTTGTTAAAAAACTGCAACTCTATAAATGCCCTGCTATTTTAACTTGTATTTGATATACATGGATATACTAATTTCTCTGTATGTGTATGTGTGTGATGTGATGCTATGTCAGGCCAGAGAACTTGTTATTATGCCACTAACATCACCCAGTCTTAAATTGGACCCTTAGTTTCTACACACACACAAAATAAATTTATTTTAGCATGCTATACACAGCTGCAGTGCAACAGGATGGCACGTGATGGTAAGACAGGGCTAAAGCTTTTTTCTGCCCAAAACAAAATTTCCAGGAATTCACATTATTTTCCTCTAAAAACCCATCTTGCTCTAATGATAAAATATATTAAGATGTAATTAGAAGCTAAGCTCAGAAGTATAATTTGCATGAAAACACATTTTCTATAAGCAGTGTTTATTACCTCCTCACTGGCTAAAACAGAAAAAGCAAAGTTTTCATGGGCTTGCTTTATCTTGTCCTTTTAGGTTTTTTGCAGAGAAACTAAAATGAAAAGAATTTACAGAAAGATACGTAAGTTTCTCTTAGATGTTGGATGAAAAACAAGGAAAACTGCACATTTAGTGTTAGTGACAGAGAGCAAGTCTGGAGCACCTACAGTCGAAAAGCAGAATATATTTTTGCTCCCAGTTATACAATTACATTAAAATATGGGCACAGGAATAGTTTTTCCACATTAGCCAATTGCTTGTTCTGCAACTTTTCTTTAAATGACACTCTTGGATTCTTCTTCAGTTGTTAAAGTCCAACAAGTAACCAAAGTTAACTACGTACCCACAAACTATTCCAGAATTGTAAAATTTCAATGCCCTCCCCTATCCCTACCCCACAAAAAAAGGAAAGAAATGAAGTATTTCTCCAACACCCCACAGAGGCTGCTTAACTCCTGGCAAGACATGCAAATCATATTTGATTAAAAAAACAAAAAACAAAAAAAACCAAACAACAAAAAAAAAACCCGCACCCCTGCAAACTTGAAGACATTTATCCAGCATTCTTGCAGGGCTTAAATTAAAACCAAAAGATCAAGGGAGGAGCGGGGGAAAATGTTGAATCATTCTGGGTTCCCCGTGATTAGTGTATCACTTTAGTCATAGAACAGGATACAGTGATCTAGTAAGTGGATTTGCCTTTCCAGTGGGTCATTTGTTGCCCAAGGTGATGACAGCAGGTACTTTAGAACCACGTTTTGTTAAGTCTGTATTCATTAATCACTTGCATTCACACTTAAAAAACAAAAACTAACAAAAGAATAAAGAAAAAAACTATTCAGTACCGGAGATTAAATAACCATGTGTAGTCTCTTGAAATAAATTTGATTCCTTAAGAAGTCTAATTACTTTCAGTTGCCTTTTTTAAATAACTATATATATATATATGCATATATATATATTTGTATATATTATCCTGTGATTCTACTTATGGTTCCTCTGCTGCGTTGAAGATCTAGGAGCATAAAAGCCTTGTGTCCCCCATGAACGGTGGCTCTAATGCTGCAGAAAGGTTACGAATAGGCAGTCTGGTCCTTCATTGATCTGGACTATCCATGGCTTCACTGTAAGTGATTATCCTTTTGGGATCTAGAGGGAAAGTTAAAAGTAAATTTTTTTAAAAGTCTTAGAATTGAAAACCATCCACAATCCAGAAACAAATCCCAAGCAATATCCAAATATCCACTGCTGCCCTTCCGATTGAAACAAAAATTTGATTTGAAAAAAAAAAAAAAAAAAAAATTTTTTTTTAAAGTCATTTCTTTCTGGTATCAACTCATGCTATCATTTAATTTCAACTCAAAAGTCCAGTGCTCCAAATTCCCACCAGTCTTCTACCCAGTAAGGGCTTCATTCAATACCTAGAGATTAACAATGGTTAAGTTCATTTAGTAAAGAATGCTTCTTCTGATTACCAAAGCAATAAAACTGAAAGCAGGGAGAGTAAAACTTAAGTTACAAATAAACTTTAATACTAATCTGGGCTTGGTGGTGCTCACCTTTAATCCCAGCACTCCCGAGGCAGAGATCTCTGTGAGATGGAGGCCAGCCTGGTCTAAATAGTGAGTTCCAGGTCAGCTGTGGCTACAGGGACACCCTGTCTCAAAAAAATTCCCCCCCAAATACTAATATGAACAGAAACACTAAGACTTATAGGACTTATTTTCTTTCCAGCAAATAAATTGTTTTAAAGTTTATTAAAGTGTACCCATGTTGTGTAATGCCCGTGGCAGTCAGAAGGTATCAGATCCCTTGGAACAACAGTTCCAGTTTTTGTTTTGGAAATAGCTCTTTAGACCAGGCTGGCCTCACCAAGATCCACCTGCCTCTGCCTCCCAAGTGCAGGGATTAAAGGCGTGCACCACCACACCCCATGAGCAACAAGTTTCTTAACTGCTGAGCCATCTCTCCAGTCCCAAAAATATTTTTTTAGGGGGGTGGGGGTGGATATTTGTTTTAAAGACAGTCTTAGGTGATACCAGCTAGTCTGAAACTTGCTGTATATCTGACCTTGAGCTCCTGGATCCTCTTGCCTCTACCTCCCAAATGCTGCAATTTTAGTATGTGCCCTCATGCCCCAGTCTGAAGTGGGCTGTTTAGTAAGGAATAATTCAAGTAAAACCTAGCACAAAATACTTCAAACTAAGTCACTACAGTGAAACTACCAATCTAGTCCTAATCATATGTCTAACCCCTTATTTCCTATAGTATTATCCCCATCTTCATTCTCAGCAAAGCAAAAGTAGGACCTGGAGGTATAGAATCCACAGAACTCATGCAAAAAGCCCCGAGTTCAATCCCTACTACCAAAAAGAGACGCAACTTTCTGGATTCAATCATGAAACTGTCAAAATATGTCTGGACAAAGACTACAGAGCTATTTAAAGTGTGATCCTAAATTTCTATTGTTTAGCCATCATGTTTCCTGTTTGTGTATGTGTGGGTGAGCCACACACAGTGCAGTGTGAAGTTGAGAGAACTTTCCTGGAGCAAATTCTCCCTCCTTCCACCTTCATGTAGGTTCTACAGGGCAAACAGGTTATCAGGCTTGGTGGCAAGCACCTTTACCCACTAAGCCACCTCACTAACTGAGATGATATAATTTTTAATTGTTTTATTTTTATTTTATGTGTGAGTGTCATGCCTACGTGTATTAAGTGCAACCATGTTGTGTAGCCCAAGGAAGGACAGAAGAGGGCGTCAGACCCCTGGAACTGGAGTTAGGGACAATTGTTAGTTGCCATATGGGTGCTGGGATTCAAATCTGGGTCTTCTGCAAGAGCAGACAGTACTCTTAACTGCTGAGCCCCCATTATTAAGTTTTTTGTTTTGTCTTTTTGAGACAGGGTCTCCCTGTAGTCCCAGCTGACCTGAACTCACTATGTAGACCAGGCTGGCCTTGAACTCACAAAGATCTGCCTGCCTCTGCCTCCCAAGTGCTGTTTTTTTTTTTTTTTTACTAATTGTCATTTTTGAGCCAGGGTCTTACTATGGAGCCCTGACTGATCTTGAACTGGCAGGAATATCCTAGCCTTTGCCTCTCATGTGCTGAGATTAAAGTCATGTGCTACCATGCCTGGCACAGACAATATTTTTATTATTGTTGAAGAGTCTCATAAAATAGCCAAATTGGCCCACAATTCATGATCATGATCCTCTTACCTCAGCCAAGTGCTGAGACTGTAGGCATATAACACTGCTACTAACGCCCCCCAACCCTCTTTTTGTATTTTTGAGACAGGGTCTCCCTGTAGCCCCAGCTGTCCTGGAACTCACTATGTAGACCAGGCTGGCCTCGAACTCACAAAGATCTGCCTGCCTCTGCCTCCCAAGTGCTGCCACCATGCCCAGACCTTTTTTTTTAAAAAAATAAAATAAAAAATAAAGTGAGAATCTTTTTGATCAAGGGATGATTGAGTTTCTGGGAAGAAATTTTTTTCTTACTTTTTTTTAACAGTGCAAGTTTTGGGGCTGGAGAGAAGGCTCAGTGGTTGGGTGCACTGACCGCTCTTGCAGAGGGCCCAGGTTTGATTCCCGGCACCTACGTGGCGGCTAACAACCCTCTGTGACTCCAGTTCCAGGGGATCTGGATGCCTTCTGACCTCCACTGACTGTACTTACACATATACAGGCAATACCCTTGTACACATAAAAAAATAAGTATTTTTTAGGCTGGGCGCGGTGGCACACACCTTTAGTCCCAGCACTTGGGAGGCAGAGGCAGGCAGATCTCTGTGAGTTCGAGAGCCTGATCTACATAGTGAGTTCCAAGGCAGTTGGGGCTACAGGGGAACTATATCCCCCAAAGACCAAAATAAATAAATAAATTAATTAATTAAATTTTTTTTTAAAAAGTACAAGTATTAACTCTAGAATTTTCTTAATAGGAATCATAAAGAAATGCTTTAATAAATAAGAACTAGGGGCTGGGGGTATAACTTCAATGGTAGGTGCTTGCTAGTATTCTCAAGGCTCTTGTGTGTGTGTTGGGGGGGGTAGAACAGAAACAGTAACTCATCATTTAATAGAAAAGTACAAAGACCTGAAAATAGTATTGAAGAACCCAGGTTTATCTCAGCTAAAAGAATTAGTCCAGCTTAAGAGATAATACAAAAATATTCTTTTAAGAGACTCCCAAAGGCCACTTACTACCTGCCATGTACATTTCAATAGTTATTGGCCATTTTATAATACAAACAGGCAGGCCTGTTTTTTTTTTTTTAATCTTTTTGAGACAGGGTCTTCCTATAGCCCCAGCTGGCCTAGAACTCCCTATATAGACCAGGCCAGCCTTTAACTCACAGAGATCTGCCCAGGCAGGCCTATTTTGCCGGGTGTATTTTATAGTCTATCCACCCCCCCCATTTTTTGTTTGATTAAATCATACAAAGAAAGCAATTCAAGAAACTTGAGAGTTTCTTTAGGCTATAGGTGTACTGAATAAGAAAAGATTAACCCTTGACCCTAAGAAACAATGGAGAGGTAGAAAGAGCAATGTTAGGAAATCAGGGGACCCTACAGTCAACTGTCATTCTCTATCTACATTTGTGAGTCTCAAACTTCCTAACATGTAAAATAAAAGAATCTCTAAGGCTATTCAGGTATTACAGTTAGGGATTTCAAAGTTATCTGAAATTCACTTATATTAATTAACTAGCAAAGTAGATGGGGAATGGGACTGAATTCTATTACAGGATTCTTGAAAATCCAAATTCAGTATGACCAGTTCTCCAATCAACCTTCAGCTTTGTTCATATTAAAGCATATTATTCATATTCATACCCATTATATTTTAATATGAAGGCATACAATTAAGATAATCAACTTAGTTTTTAACAAATCCCAAAGCAAAGCTGGGTATGATGGCCCATGCCTTTAATCCCAGCCTTCTGGAGGCAGAGGTAGGTAGATCTCAGTGAGAGCAAGGCTAGCCTGTCTACAAGGTAAGTTCTAGGCTAGCTACAGGAGACCCTGTCTCAAAAAACAAAAACAAAACCCCAAACAATCCAACAGGTGGACTGTCTAGAGGCTGTCCCCCTACTAGTCACATCTTGGTTACTGGAAGAGGGAAAATATTAATTTGCTATTCTTTATATTTCCAACCACTATTCCAGTGAATATACAGATAAGGCTATTAAGAGCAAATAGTTTATTGAACTATGAATTTCAGTTCTTAGGCTATCATCCTTTTGTCTACCATACAATACAGACTGGGTAAAGGTAAAGAAAGCTTTTGTCGGTTTCTTAAATTACAAATATTTGCAATCCTTTTTCTGGGATGGGGGGGAATGAGGTAGGGCTGTGCTAAGGATCAAATCCAAAGGCCTTACACATGTTAAACATGAGCTCTATTACCGAAATGCTCTTGCAGCTCAGTCAGGAGTAGAAAAAACATGAGCAGATAAGAGTATTTCTTTCCGTTTCTTCTGAGACAGGGTCTCATCATACTGTAGCCCAAGCCAGCTTTGAAATTAAAGCAATTCTCTTGCCTCAGTCTCCTAAGAGCTGAGATTACAGGTGTGAATCACCATACCTTTTACTTGCAGTTATACCCCATCATTACCAGTCCTGGTATGGCAACCAGTGCCTTTTGACTGCAATAACTAAGTTATTGCACAGTCTATTTACCAGGCCACAATTCCATTTATTCCTATAAAAATAATGTATAATAATTACTGATTAACATTAATATTTAAAGTAATTTAACCATTCTTACCTTGCTTTTGTAAATTCCAAATAGATTCCATTTCTGTAGAGGAAAAAAAAAGGGATTATTTTATACATCAAATTTCAATGAATGAAGTGTGACGTTACGCTTTTACCATTTTATATCTTTAAAAACCTACACTGATTACTGCTAGGATAGAGACAGGTCTGAAATAGTACTGTTCTATGTAGCACAGGCATTGAAAATTTCAAATTCTTAGGTACCATCTAGATTACCTAACTGTTGATTATGGAAAGTCAATTACTGGGCCAGTAGGATGGCTCAGCTTGCTGCCAAATCTAATGACTTGAGCTCAATCTCCAGTCCCACGTGGTAGAAGAGAACAAGTTGTCCTTTGACGTGTGTGTGTGCGCGCGTGCGCGTGTGTGCGTTCTGTCTCTCTGATTAAACATAGTCAATTATCTGATATTAGAAAGATGGCCCAACAGTTAAGCGCACTGGCTGCTCTTGCAGAGGATCTGAGCTCAGTTCCCCCAGCATGCACATGGTGGCTAACAAGACTGAAACTCCAGTTCCAGGGGATCTGACACCCTCTTTTGGCCTTTGGAGGCAATGTTTGACATGGGTACACTTACATACACACGCAAGGAAAACACTCAAAAACATAAATAAAAACGCTAAAATTTTTTTTCTCTATTATTTTATGCGTATGAGTGTATTGGCTGCATGTATGTGAGTGCACCCATGTCATACAATGCCATGGAGGTCAGAAGAGGGCTTTGGAATCCCCTGGAACTTGAGTTAAGGATGGTTTGTAGCCACCATGTGGGTGCTGGGACTCGAACCCAGGTCCTCTGCAAGAACAGTCAGTGCTCTTAACTGCTAAGCCATCTCTCCATCTCGAATTCACAGAGATCCACCTGCCTCTGCCTCCCAAGTGCTGGGATTAAAGGCGTGCGCCATCACGTCCATCCCTCAAATGCTATTTCTTACCTCATTGTTATTAAAAAAGACAAAATCCTGGTTCTTCCTGAACAACCTACCTCTCAGTGAGGCCTGTTTTTTTCAATAGAACACTAATCAGAGTTTAATAAATTTGATGAGTAATTGGTTTAAATATCTAAGGAAAGTGTTTTGAACCCCTAAACCCCCAAGGCCAAAATGTCAATCCAACACAAATCCTCACAAACCCAACAACACAATCCTCATTTACTCAAATTTCTACAAAATGCCTATTTTCACAAAGGTATCATGCATGTCTAAACTATAGTGATATACAGAGACGGTAGTTAGAATTCTACTTGGCACACAAAGTTTTCACAGTGGACAATTAAGGTCTAGATGAATAAAACCCTAGCTAACATGTACTTAAAAAAACAAAACAAAACAAAACCCAAAAATTAGCCCTTCAAAATAGATTAAGCAAAAACTATTCAATAAAAGGAACAAACTATAACAAAACCCAGACAGTACTTTTACTGCACATAAACAGAGGAAGGTAATTATGAAACCACACTCTTCTCACACAGCCTTACAAGATCAAAATTGCATCAAAACAATTAGAAAGGTTTTTTTAGATGTCAGAATTGTTAATTACACAAAATGACCAAATTGTCTAGGCAAAAATCCCATACAGCTGGGCATGGTGGCGCTTGCCTTTAATCCTAGTACTCAGAGGCTGTGGGATCTCTGAGTTCCAGGCCAGCTGGGGCTTACTGGCAGACCCTGTCTCAAAAAAACCAAAAAAAAAAAAAAAAACCAAAAAAACAAACCCCATACAACGTGTAATAGCAATCTATTAAACCAAACCTGGGGAAAACAAACTGAAATGCCGCTTGTGTTCAAGTTTTTTGTGTTTATGGCCAATCCTCCAGGCAGATGCCTATCCAAAGATAGCCAAGAAGCCAGGCATGGTGGCATGTCCTTGTAATCCCAGAGGATTCTTAGGACAAGAAGATCATGAGTTCAAGACCAGCATGGGTACACAGCAAGTCTGCCTCTCCAATCTTCCTCACCCTTCTCTGAAGATTGAAAAGGGAAGAGAACTAAAATCCCCTAATCTAAACAAAGAGAAGACACCAGTGACAGAACTGTTTTCTAATTATGCACATCATATTCATCACTCCAATCATTTCTAGTTCTCTGTTTCAGACAATGCGAAAGGTTATATACTTTTTAGGTTTATACTTTTATCTTCTATGATTCTAGATGTTAAATGGCCTTTTGTTTTTTTTTTTTTTTGGTCTTTGTGAGACAGCGTCTCCCTGTAGCCCCAGCTGTCCTGGAGCTCACTATGTAGACCAGGCTGGCCTTGAACTCAGAGAGGTCCGCCTGCCTCTGCTGGGATTAAAGGCATGCTCCACCACGCCCGGCTTAAATGGCCTATTTTAAGACATCCCAAATCTTATCTTGGTTGACCTGGCTACAAAAATATAAATTCAACATAACTGTTTTTCCTTTTCTTTTTTTGGTCTTTTTGAGACAGGATCTCCTTGTAGCCCCAGCTGGCCTTGAACTCATAGAGGTCCACCTGCCTCTGCCTCCCAAGTACAGGGACTAAAAGGCGTGGACTACCATGCCACACTCAACAACATAACTGTTTTTCAAAGATTTGTACATAACAATTACTAGATATTATTCTTTCTGTTCTCTACCACAAGCCTCAATTTGTCTTTATTCTCTCTTTTTAAGGGAGAAAGACATACACTTAGGAATCACAGCAAAAAACATGTTACAGTATTTAGAAACAAGTAAAAAACATTTAGAACAAAGACAAAGGGGGCTGGAAAGATGGCTCAGTGGTTAAGGCAGGAAAGAAACAGGTTTTTGGAAGAGCATAAACTCAACTTCATATATAGAGAAGAGTGGTAGAGTTAATGAGGTGTGAACTCGGTAATAGCAGTTGAAGAGATCTAAATTTACCATACAGTGATAGAGATGAAATTGGATGGGATTACCCAGTCAAGTGCAGTATGAAAAATAGACAAGGGGGGGCGGCTAGAGAGATGACTCAGTGGTTAATACTGTTCTGACCCAGGTTCAAATCCCAGCACCCACATGGCATTTAACTGTGTGTAACTCCAGTTCCAGGGATCCTATGGCCTCTGCTGTCCATGACACAGATGCACTTACATACATGCAGGCAATAGACACATACACATAAAAATAATAAAATATTTTTTAAAAGGTGGACAAAGAACATTAACAAATGAGGAACGGAGAAGAAACCAATAAGGTTTTTTTTTTTGTCTTTTCAAGACAGGGTCTCCCTATAGCTACAGCTGGCCTGTAACTTGCTATGTAGACCAACTCACATAGATCCGATTAAAGGCTGGGATTAAATGAGTGGGCCACCACACCCAGCCAGAAACCAATAAGGTTTCATTAAAGTTGTAGGAAATAGGAGCCAAGTGTAGTAAAACATTCTTGTAATCCCAGCACTTACAAGGATCATTTGCCGAGGCCAGTATGGGCCATGCAACCAAACTATGTGTACCCAACTACCCCTTCCCTCACCTCCTATCAACCCAAAAAGAAGGAAAACGAAGAAAACAGAGTAGGCAGAGCCAAGAATTCAAAGTAGAGAAAGGGGTGTTCTATTGTGTGTTCTTAACCAGTGCTAAGACACTAACACCTTTCTAGTCATCTAGTCCAATGTCACTGTCCTAGTTTAAGCAGTACTATTTTAGGAACAGTTCTACAGTTATTTATTTTTTTAAATTAAAAGACAGGTGGGAGTTCTTACATACCAGGTTGGCTCTGAATTTGCTATGTAGACAAGGATGATCTTGAACTTCTGCCTCTACCTCCTCAGTCTAGGATTCTATGTATGCACCAAGTCTTGTTTACATAATGCTGAAGATGGAAACTAGGGACTTATGCAAGCATTCTACCAACTGAACCCGAAGCTCCAGGCCCTGGAGTTATCCTTCTGAAGAATCAAAGTTATGCAGGGGTCTTCTAAGGGGCCTCTTTCCCCATTAAGCTTCACTTTATAAGGCTGCTGCAATCTTTTTTCTAAATTTTTGTGTATGAGGGTATTGTCTGCATGTATGTAAGTGTACTTATGCAGTCCCGGAGGACAGAAGGGGTGTCACATGCCCTGGAACTAGACAGCTGTTAGCTGCCTTATGGATGCTGGGATTTGAACCTGGGTCTTTTTTTTTTTTTTTTGAGACAGAGTCTCCCTGTAGCCCCAGCTGTCCTGGAACTCACTATGTAGACCAGGCTGGCTTTGAACTCACAGAGATCCACCTGCCTCTGCTTCCCGAGTGCTGGGACTACAGGTGTGCACCACCACACCCGGCTGAAACTGGGTCTTTTTACAAGAACAGCCAGAGCTCTTAACCACTGAGCCGTCTCTCCAGCCCCCACAATCTTTCTTTAAAACAAATCTAGGCACTGATGGCTGGCTGCTCTTGCAGAAGACTTAGGTTTGGTTCCCACAACCCATATTAAAAAATCAACATCTAAATTAAGACTCCAGTACACCATGGCTCCCTCAAAAACAGAAAATAAGTTAAATTCAGTAGATGCTTAATGAACTATTCCTCAGTATATATTTCAATTTTTCACTCTGTTTTAAAAGTCTTTTTTGAGACAAGGTCTCCCTATAGCCCCAGCTGACCTGGAACTCACTATGTAGACCAGGCTGGCCTGAATTCAGAGGTCCACCTGCTGCTGCCTCCCAAGTGCAGGGATTAAAGGCGGGTGCCACCACACCCAGCTTAATTTTTCACTCTGAATTCAAGTTAGTTTGGTCTTTTCTATGAATGTACCTATTTTTTAAAAAATATTTTATTATTTTTATGTGTACGAGTTTATTGCCTGCACGTGAGTGTACCCATGTCATGCAATGCCGCGGAGGTCAGAAGAGGGCTTTGGATTCCCCTGGAACTGGAGTTAAGGACAGTTCATAGCCACCATGTGGGTGCTGGGAATTGAACCCAGGTCCTCTGCAAGAGCAGTCAGTACTCTTAACCTCTGATCCATCTCTCCAGCCCTGAATGTACCTATTTTTTTTTACAATTTTATTATTTTTATTTTATGTATATGAGTGTACTGCCTGCATGTATGTAAGT